CTGCATTATGAAATGTTCTCTTATACATGACAATTAATTCCAATCTTTTTCTCCACTATTTCCACAGGATCCGATCTGATTGTCATATCGTTCTATGCAGGGGCGCGTCACTTCCAGACAGAACTAACAGCGCCTAAATGAAACAGCACCACACTTCTTCAGGTAGATACAGATGCTACAACACACTGCTAGTCATCAGGTAACCCGAACCACGAAAATGGGCAATTGCTAAACCTCGGATAGGCTCGGCAGCCGTTGAGGAACGCCCCAGCTTCTCTGCTAACATTATCTTGTGCAGTTACTTGCCGGCGCTGCTTGCACTTTGCCAACGAGCGCTCGATGATTCCATAGTGTGGTTGGGAAGAGGGGAGGGAAGAGGGTGGTGAGCGGAAAGGTTTGACCTAGCTGGGGGGTGGTGGTTATTGGGTGCCCGGATGCTACCCCGGAGTCAGGATTTGGGAACTGTATAAAGAAGGGGGCAAAGGTACTAGTTAGGAGTTTGAGAACTGCAGACAGCAGTAAAGAGAAAGAGAATACCGTGCTTCAAAAAAAGTAAATCAAACCAAACCTGAGCATACGAACAAAAGCAAGAAAAATTTTGAGAAATTTCAATAAAAATCACTGGCGATGTACACCAGACGGACCGGTGCAATCATGCATTTTTGCACTATTTCTTACTGTAGTAAGATCACCTGGATTCTCAGCAGCTAGAGTTTGTGACATACTGGCCCTCGAACTTCAGGAAGTTAAGTGTGCAACTATGTGGTGTGTCAGTTGTCGATGTCGGCTTTAGTGACCCAACAAAAGGAAGTTGCCAATGCGCGAAAAAGACCTCATGAGGAGGATCAATCACTTCTTGTAAGCACTGCTTTTGCTGCGTCGAGGGCGAATATTGCTAGTATTATGCTATAATGTAAATCTGCATAATTACTGGGAAGCCTGTCCGTACGTGAAACACGGACAGTTCTAAGGAATCGTCTTTGAAATCTTTCAGTCCTACACGAGAGACGTTTCCTTAAAATTCCAGCCTTCCAGCTTCCCCCATTCCCGAGTTGTGATTTTCCAGGAAGCTCAGTTTGAAACCTTTTCTTCGTACATGAGTAAGGGACACTTTCCTGATCTTCAGCTTTTTAGCTTTTCTCACTCTCGAGCAAGCAATTTTCCCGCCAAAACTTTCATGTGCCCGCACACGATATGTAGATGTGCGTAACAGTTGATATCACTTTCTTGGGGCCGCAGTTGGCCAGGGAACACACTGGCAAAATTCCAGTACCAAATAGAAATATCCAAACAGATGCACACACACAAAAATACACACACAGACAGGATTGTCGCAATATGCGTTTTTGCTGTCTGTTGCAGTGCTCTGTTCG